GGGGCAGAGGGGGAGAGAGAGAGAAAATCTTAAGCAGCCTCCACCTCAGTGTGGAGCCCACTGTGGGGCTCAGTCTCACGACCCTGAGATCATGACCTGAGCTGAAATCAAGAGTCGGACGCTTAACTGACTGAGCCTCCCAGGCGCCCCTGGATTACCTTAATTTTAATCACTTGATGGTTAATCTGATCCCACATGGAATTATAAACTGATTTATGTATTCCAAAAGAGTTAGTAAAACAACCAACCAGTGGTCTAACAAAGCAGTCTCGCACAATGAGACACGGTCTGAAGGGGAAAACAAAGTTTTCCTCTGTAACAGCTAAGTTTTCTAAAGTTACAAAGTATTTGTATAACATGGCATAGACAAATCTATATATATTCACCAAATCTAACTGTTAGACTTGGGAAAACACTTAGCTTACCTCTTTAAAAAAAGGTGGGGTGTTAAGAGAAAGGAAATACACATCTGAAATCACGTATCTGAAACCTTCAGGGTCCAGAAGTATTTTGTAATTTAGGATTTTTTGGCTCTTGGGTGGGTAAAAAGGTAAATATACCATATCATACATAAAACCCTGAGTGAGATCTGGACAGCACCCTGTGATAAAGCAAATTGATATTTCAGCAGTGAAATGTATGAAAATTCACACTGACTGTGATCAATAAAGATCAAAAATAACCTCGAGTCAGTTCAGGGCAGGTTTTGTTGCTAAATGAGGTTAGGTCTGGCCAGGATTTGATATCAAATGAGTTATAAAAAGTCTTTCATTTATCAAACCTCTTTGGACTTCAAAATTGGTGTGGAAGGGATTGTTACTCTGTATGCTTTATGCAGCGACTAGCATACTTCTCTGTCTCTACATGGAGTAAAGCAGAAAGCATGTACTGTCCGGAAGAGACAATAGGTGAATTAAGGAGTGGTAGAGCTACAAGTTAGCAAAGGGAAATAGTGATATTTAGGAACATCTGCTTTCCAGCAGAACGTTCTTTATGTTTCTAATAAAAACAGGAAGCTGAGAGGTTGGAAGAACTTAGCTGTGTGATGGTGAGTCTTGTGTTATGTTGGCACAGAGGAGGGCAATCGTGCGGTAAGAAAGTGAAATCGGGAACAGTGGGATGTGTAGCAATGATAGGTATGGTTATGTGACAGGCATGTTTGTGGAGGGGCAAAGAATAAGGAATTCTGCATCAATGAACAGACGTCCTGAGTTCAAACTTGATACCATTACTTGCTTAACCCATGTCTTACTGTCCCCATCTGTGAAATGGGGAGAATAATGTCATAGAGTTGTTAGGAGTCACCAAATAAAACCTGTAAAATACTTAGCACAGTGCCCGGTGCATGGTTAGCAATAAAAAATAAAATTAAATAAAATTAAATTAAAAAGTTAACTGTTTGTTACTAAAGGTAAAGATATAAATATCTCACTAATCCAGCATGTCTAATTAACATCAACTGTGTCATGGGATTCCATGTAAATACACAGTGTTTTCTACCTGCAGTACACCTCTGATGGGGCCACTCTGATGAGAAAAACACATTTGAGAGATGTTTCTTGAATAGGAATCTTGCTTCAGTTATACTTTAACATAGGCAAGAGGGGGTTTTTGTTGATAAAGGAACTGACTTCCCTACTCTGACCCACTGCCCTGACCTTTCCACTTTCTTTTGTGTGATCGTGGTTTTAAAGCAACCAGTGTATTAGGCCCCAGAATTCTGTTACAACTGAGTTCAGAAAACTATTTATTTTTCTTCTATAGTTTTCTGAATTAATCTTATTTCTTGGTTGTCATATCTCATAACTCACAACTTTCTATGTATTGAATTTTGGGCTTTCTCTTTCCCCTTCCCTGCAAAGCTACATACCTGCAAGAGAGCCAGCCTTTCCTCTTTTTTCCCCTGAATTTTCACTGCAAAACCAATTCGTATACTTTGTTGACTTTTGTTGTGTGTGTGCGTGTGTGAAGTAAACAACTAAAGGGGGAAAATCTCTTGTGAACTTTCCTAATTTCAAGGACTCCATCCTACTTTCCAGGGATAATTGATGCTAACCATTAGGATTGTGTTCTTCTAAACAACATTCTGTGTATAAGATACAACATTCATATCCTCTATGCCAGGGAGGAATTTGCTGTTGATTTGGCAAAAATGACCTTCTGTACGTACTGTTCTGCAGCTTGCTTTTTTTCCTGTCTAACCATGGGCATCCTCTCCTATTGTTACTGTTCCCATTATTTGTAATAAGTTACATTCTTTTAAATATAATTGTGTATTGTTATTAACACATTCCTTCGTTCACTGAAGTAATATTTACTCATCATGGAAATGAGGAAAATATGTGTTGCCTGCTATGTGAAATGCAAGTTTTGAGAGACACAGTTTCGGTCCCCTGGCTGCTTATAATCTGGGAGGAGAAATAAGATGGGGACACATGTAACTACATATTAAGGTACAGAATTTGTAAATTTAGATTTTGGTTACCCTGTCGGTCAGAAGAAAGTAAATTAACTTTTGGAAGGGCTGGTCAGGAAGGGTTTTTAGGAGATTTTGGGTTCAAATTGCATCTGTAAAGATTGGTTGGATTTCAACTGATGTAAAAGAGGCAGAAAAAATACCTTTCACCTAACCTCTGAGAGAAGAAAATGTAAAAGATATATGTAAAAGAGGGCCATAATCCAGATGCACTGATTGTAAAACACTTCCTGATTTCAGAGATACTAAAAAGTGGGATAAATGTACAAATTAAATCAAGAAAATATAGTATTTGGTTAATTTGACTGGAATGGCAGATTTCTAGAAGGTAAAACTGATAGAAAAATCTGGAAAAATAAATGGAAACCAGATCATGGGGAGTCTTGAATGCCAGGGGAAATTTGAAACCTTGTATGTAATTTACTTCCAGATTCTTCTTTTCTTCTTATCACAAGCTATTAGAATTTAGGAAAAGACCAGATACACTAGTCTTAAAACATAAGAGTCTATATTCTGGAGGATTTATTTAAACGATGTCTTTAAAACTGTTGGTGCATTTTGGCAGGCCCTCCCATTACAGACTGTTTCTTTTTTCCGTAAAGAGATAAACATTTTACATCAATGTACTCATGTGCTAGGCACCAAGATGTCAGTAATGAACAAGACAGTCTGACCCTCACATGCTCATGGCCTGGTTAATGAATTTCCAGTACCATCTCTCCACTTCCCAGACATCCATGTAAGATTTGGCTGGCCTATCAATCATTAAAAATATCCATCTCCTCTGATGTCTTGGCCTTGTTTCTTGTTTGTGGTTATGATTTCCTGCTTGCTCTGCTGAACTGTGACTTCTTGAAATCTGCACACCCTTTCTTAACACCTAGGGGACGTTTTTCCCCACTGAGCTTTTTTTTATTCAAAGCAGAACTATTTACAAATGAGCTTTTATTTTTATTTTTTTTATACCATCTCCGTAATTATTTTACTAAAGGAGAAAATACTGGATTTTGATTCCCTTGATGTCAACGAGGACAACTACAATGAAGGTGATGATGGAATGCAGATGGAGTTAGAAATGTGCTAAATATCCCCTGTGGAAGATGTTTATAACAACAAACACACATGGAGAAAACCTCTATTTGAATTAGGCATGAAGCTCAGTATAGGATTTTTCATTTGCTTGAGGGTTTAACCCCTTTACTCTGATGAAATGTCCCTCTTTATCCCTGATAATATTCCTGCTTGTGGAATCTACCTTGTCTCTTGTTAAATAGTTGTTCTAGTAGCCTCCAAGATGGTCCCCTATGATCCCCACCCCCTGGTATAGACCCTCTTGTGTAGTCCTCTCTCCCATTGTACCAAAATGGGCCTGTGTGGCTAATAAAATATGATAAAAGTAAAGTTATTTCCCTTCTGGGATTAGATGATAAAAGTCTGTGACTTCTCTTTCTCTCTCAGAACACTTCCTCTGAGGGAAATCATGTCACGAGCAGCCCTATGGAGAATCCAAGCAGCAAGGAGCTGAAGCCTTCTGCCAACCACTGGGTAAGTGGGTTTGGAGGCAGATTCTCCAGACCCAGCCAAGCCTGACACCTAGACTGGGAGAGACCATGAACAAGAGCACCCAGCTAAGCCACCCACAGATTCCTAATACACAAAACTACGAGATAATACATGTTTGTTGTTTGAAACAGGTGCATTTGGGGCAATTTGTCACACAGCAATGGATAACTTATACACTTAGCTTTCCTTTGATTTGTATTCCCATGGTGTTTTTGAGGGTCCCAATAACTACCCCAAGTTTGATGATTGGCCAAAAGGACTCACAAGACGCAAGAGAAGGTTATATTCACAGCTAACATTGACTATAGTAAGAGATACCTGAGTCAAGCAGCAAGGAAGATATTTTCACTGGGCAGAGTTCAGACATATTCAGTTTAGGCTTCAGAGCCTTTCAACAGAGGCCACACATGACATGTGGCCACTCCAACAGCAACTGATAAGAACATGTCTGGAATGTGTCTACACAGGGAATCCTGCTGGAGTCATAGGGTCCAAGGCTTTTTTGGCGCGCTGGTCCCATGAGCATATCTTGCTCTGCTACCAGCCGTGGCAACTGAAACTCAGGACCTCAACAATGAAACTAGGTGCACATCATTAATTTGGATATTTGTGCAAAGCAACTTGACAAGCTAGTCCAGCCCAGCCCATTGTTCCAGGTGTACACAAACAAAATCATCATCTGACATCTAAGGGCCCTATTCCTAGTGGTTGGCCAATGGTCATCCATGGTTCCAGATTCTTCTGGAGATAGGCAAGGAATAAACAACCAGATCTGTGTTATTAACCCTCTCCTCACTAGAGGTGGCTACCAGTTAGCATCAACTGCCAAATACACAGACGAATGAGACTTCAGAACATTCCAGCCCCTAGACTTCAAATCTTCTAACTTAGGCCCCCAAAATTGTGAAGCAGAAACAAGCATTCCCCACTGTGATCTGGCAGAATTCCTGATTTACAAACATGATAAGAAGTAATAAATGATTATTGTTTGAAGCCACCAAGTTTTGGAAGTAGTGCATTATGCAGCAATAGGTAAACAATACAGGGTAATATTTTCTTGTTTATTTGCAAACCTGACATTTTTAAAAAAGGATTTTATTTATTTATTTGAGAGAGAGCCAGAGCACAAGCAGGGGGAGGGGCAGTGGGAGAGGGAAAAGCAGACTTCCCATTGAGCAGGGAGCCTGACAAATCTGGCCATTTTCTATTGGATGCCCAGTGTGAATTTTATGTTTCGGGGCACTGGATTTTGTTGTATTTCATTACATAGTGTTAGATTTAGTTCATTGTTAGCTAAGTTACTATGAGTTTGTAGAATCTTTTTGAGGATTGTTTTTAAGTTTGTTAGGGCGAGTGCCGAGCAGCCTTTAGCTTAGGGCTAATTTATCCCCGCTACTAAACTGATAACTTTCTCACACTATTTCAGAGATTGGCAAACGCTTTTGGTAAGGGGCCATATGTAATATTTTAGGGTTTATTTGCTGTATATAATCTCTGTTGCCTATTTTTCTTTGTGTATATTTTGCAACTTTTTAAAAAATATAATAATAATTCTTAGTTTCCAAGTTTTCAAAAACCATCTGTGGGCTGGATTTGGACTGTGGGCTGTAGTTTGCCAACCCTGCCTCATCTAATGGCCTTTGCATTCCACTCTAGAACATGAATTATTTCCAGCCCTGTATGAGTTCCAAAAACTTTTCTGCTTACTCATTCTCCTGGTTCTTTCCCCACCCCTGGCACCATGGCCTCTCTGACCTCTGATCTCTCTCTTTCCCACTCAGTAAGACCTTGGGCTCTGTCTGGGTTTCCCTTTCCCCATGTTGCAGCCTGGATATGGCCTCTAGAAATAAGCTGGCTCAATCTCAGGGGTCACCTCCTTTATTCCTCTCCTCTCAGGGATCACAGGCTGTGCTTCTTATTTTTCAATTTCTTGAAATTGTTTCATTGTTTTCTTTTCTAGCTGATTCAGATGGAGGTTAAATTCAGCCTTTGCTACTCCATCTTGGGAAGAATCTTTATTCATTCTTGAATTAAGTTATTATCAGTGCTTGTGTTTTTATTTGCGTACATATACTTACTCCTATGGGTTGGTTTCTACCTATATTGAACATAAATTTCTAACTATTTAGTTCTGTTAATGTCTTTATTGTTAAACACGGAACTATATCCACACACATGCAGATCATCATAAAGCCATCAATAAAAGCTGTATGTCAGTGACCCTAGACCTACCAGGTTTCTAGTTGGGACAAATCTTAAATGATCTAGCTGATCTGGGTCCAACTCTAGACCTCTATGGAATTTCCTTCTTCAACATCCTTAGTAGTAAACATATCCTTCTGAAGGACACATTCCACTTTTTAAGATAGCCTATTTCATTGTTGGACAGCAAGTAATTGTCAGACAATGTATGTTATAATGAGCTAAAATGTAATTCTTAGTAACAATGACTTTTAGTTTTTACTGAATTTGTGTTTAACCTGTATCCAGAGGACCTTTTCTTATCAACTCCTTTTAGCCCTCATTGTGCATTTTTGATTCAATCTACAGATATGTCTTATGCTAGGCTCTGTGCTGAGCTTGGGCTTGCAGGGGTGAGAAAAGGAAGATAATATCTTGGTCTCATGCATCTCTTAGTTTGATGGCAGAAGTGGGAATGTAATAAGCAACTGCGCAAATATGGGCGAAATTACAGTGTGCTGTGTGCCGCAAAGAAGTGTGATGCGATGACACTGTATGGATGAGCATTGACCTGATCAGGGAAGTTAGAGAGGACAGTCTTGAGGGAGTATGAGTTGAGATCCAAGAGCCAAGTAGGAGATAATCTGACTAAAGGGGTTAGAGCTTCCAGAAAGAGGGAACAGCCTTGTCAAAGGTACTGGGGCAAAAAAGAGCAATTGGTGTTAAATCTAAATGCAGGACTTCCAGATGACCTTCTTAAATGCTCTACTTACTCAATGAATACACGCAATCTCAGAAATATCACTATGTGACCAAAAACACATTTCTGATATTTTGGGGATATCTGTAGGGAAACAGATTTTATTTTGCCATAAACATACTTTGGATTGCCCTTTGCAGTATTATTGTCCCCACCTTAGATTTTGCGAAGCTTGAAGCTTATACTTTTGGGGGGCCCTCTTTAAGACAAATAATACAAATGTTGGATACAGAGTTAAGTACAGGGCTTGGAAGAGGTCCTTGCAATTGAGAGGCCCTGACTTGACACTTCATTAATTTCAAGGTAAATAAATCTACCTCCTGCCTTATTCAAAGGCTGCATAACCCCTGATTGGTAATGTTATTGAGGGAGTTCAGTATGTTGTGTTGAAATCTGGACTTGATACACCTCAAAGATTTCCCAAATGCAAAGATTTTGTGTTTATTTGGCTCTTAACTTTGAGAAGTGAATAGGTCAGAGTTTGACTTTTTGTAGTCTTCACCCCCTAGCTGTTTATAGAATGAATTGTCTGACAGCCGAACAATGGTGTCATGTTTGGACGGAGTGGATGGGTATGGGTGGGGGTATGTTTCTTAACAGTTTTTCTTTGTTTTGTTTCATTTTTTGAGAGGGATAGAGGGTTGGGGGGACAGAGTGAGAGGGAGAGAGAGAACCTTGAGCAGGCTCCATGCCCAGTGCGGAGCCCCATCTCACAACCCTGAGATCATGACCTGAGCCAAAAATCAAGAGTCTGACGCTGAGTCGGAGCCACCCAGGCACCCTGTGGGTATGTTTCTTTTCAGTTCTGAATTAAATGCATCTGAAAGTTAAATGTCTAGCTTCAGCCTCTAGCCAGTTGTTTTGTTCTAGCACCTAAATCTCAAGCCATGGAATCTGAACTAAAGAGGTTTCTGAATTGATGCCTGGGTTTGATTCCCATACTAACCAATGTGTGTATGTGGTGAACATGTCAGGAGTGGCCCAGAGATAGCACCTCGACCCTCTTCCCCAACGAGTCACCTCATATCCAGTTCTGCTGAGAAGAGGAGGATGGAGGAGAGGAGATGGGTGTTTTAGTGCATGGCCGTCTTACCTGCCGCATCCATTGTCTGCATCATTGTCAGAAAGGAAGGAGGACACGTTACAAATAAACTCATCACTCCCCCCTCGAACGAACACAAACAAACACAGAACCCTCAGAATCAATTATGCTCTGAATCATTATTATAAAGCAGGAATAATACTAACAACAAGAAAATAATAACAGAGGCACTGTGACCGAGGTGCTTTTGCATTCCCAGGCTAACTGTGTGGGCAGGTCATAAAGCTCTTAGCAAACCTTAATTAGAGCTCAGAGTTACATGGCTAAAGTTCCTGCCATTCTGGTCACCAGAGAAATAAAATTAGGTGAGGCTATGTGGTCGATCTGCAGACACCTAGTCATCCTCATCTGTAATGGCTTTTCCAGTCTGTCAGGTTTTTTGGAATCTGACTTGTTAGCAGCTCTGCCAGGCCCTGCTCCCTGGCTTGCAGGTACTCAGGTTTGGAGCTAATGTGTTGATGTCAGCTCATTGCCCCAGGGCTCAACCATGCCAAGTCTGGACCTGTTTGCTTTTTTTTTTTTGGAGTGAGTCTGTAAGGGACATCTCTGAGCCCACGGATAACAGTCCTGGAGCCAGGTAGGCTCTATGTGAGCACTCGGCAGGCATGATGTGCAAACAAAGACAGTACTTTTCAGTAGGAGATAATTGACTGCAAATGGCTCCATGTTGGTTTAAATTTTTTCTACTTTAATATCTAGAAACAGTTAAAAAATGTATTTTTGCTATTTATGTATTCTTAGAAACCACCACTTTTAAGAGGACCCGCAAATTTTAGGGCTGGTAAGGGAAAAAGAAATAAAGTCTCCTTGAAGATATGTGAAGACTTGGAACTTCCCTGCCCTGTGTGTTCCCTACCCCACTCAGACTTCTGGTGTGCCTTTGTGCCCCCTGAGGATGAGGCAGTTCTTGCTCAGGCTGGGGGCTCTGGGATTAATGAT